GTCTCTTCTCTGTGTGTTTGCAAATGAACAGAGCTGGATCTGTTGTGTCCTGTCTGAACGGCTATCTATTTGTACAGCTTTACGCATCTCTTCACAGAACACCCATGAAGTCACAGCTCATATTTCGGCTCTAAATATTCAATCCTTTGGCTTTAAACACCCATAAAGGCTATTTGTCAAAATGGATCTTAAACTTCGCCCCACAGTTCTGCAGAGGATCTTTAAAGCAATGCTGTAGGGGTGGGGAGGAAAGGGTGGGGGAGATGGGGAAAAGTCAGCCATTGGGCAAGCATTTATTGAGTGCCAAGTACGTGCAGAGCATATGGTATCTAGTAATAGGTGCTCTGAGAGGGATAAAAAAGAAATGGAATACATGTTCTTGCTCTCTAGATAAGGAGACAGAAATATAAACACCGTCAGCTCAGTGCCACATCCAGACATTTCAACCTTGTTTTCCAAAGATACTTGCATGAAAATCAGGAGCCAACAACATGGGGCACAAAAGAACATTTTAGCAGTTGTGTGTGTGTATGTGTCAATGTGTGCCTGTGTGCATATCTCAATGTATGTGTGAGGGTGTGCATATGTGTGTGTGTATTTATGTTTGTGCATGTGAGTATGTGCATGTTTGTTTATATATGTCTCTGTGTGTATAACCCTATGTATATGTTTTTGTATGTATATGTCCAAGAGTTGTGTGTGTGTGTGTGTGTGTGTGTGTGTGTTCATGAGCTTGTGTGTGTACTCTTGCATGTACATTTGGCTGTGGGAAACAGACAGATAGGACATTAGTGATTATAGAAATAAGATTGATGATGTAAAACACAGTTATACTATGTCCTTGATGAGCTTTCTTTCATCTTCCGACCCACGATGCCTTTACTTCACTTTCTGAGATTCCCAGCAGCAGCTCCCATGTCTCCCTTCATTGCATCAGCACCTTTCTGACCCTTGGATTAAGGTTATTTGCTTTGTCAAGTTTGCATTTCTTGTGGTCTTGGGTGAGGACAAACTTAGCTCCCTGCTGATGGCCATTCACGTTTAGACTGCTTTGGTTCTGAAATGCATGGCAATCAGATACTTGGAGGACACTTGATATGTGTGGGCTCTAGAGGACGGCCTCAGACGCCTGTCTCTGTCTCAAACATATGAGCTGATCAATAAAACTTCACAAGAGCAACTGATCCTCACATTCTTCATCTGCTAAACAAAAATTCCCTCACAACATTATTATGACAGCTAAATAAATTAATGCATGGAAATCAATGAACACAATACTTGACACCTAGTGTCTTGGTTAGTGTTCCCATTACTGCAAAGTGACACCATGACCATGGCAATTCTTATAAAAGAAAAACATTTAATTGGGGAGAGGGCTTACAATTCGGAGGTTTGATCCAATATCAGCATGGTGTTGCTATTAGTATTTAGGCATCTGTGCTGGCCTGCCTTTGGAGTTCTGACAAGATACACCCTCAGCTGCTGCCACTAAGAGCATCACCTGTGCTTTTTCAATATGTTCCCTGACCTGAACAAATGCCTAAATACTAACAATGGCATGGCATACAGGCAGACATAGTGCTGGAGAAGTAGATGAGAGTCGTATATCTTGATTCAAAGGCAACAGGAACTCAAACAGGGTGGGAACCTGGAGGCAGGAGCTGATGCAGAGGCCATGGAGGAGAGATGCTTACTGGCTTACATCTCCTGGCTTGCATCCCCTGCCTTGTTTAGCCTGCTTTCTTATAGAATCAGGACCCCAGCCCAGGGATGGCACCATCCAGCATGGGCTGAGCCCTACCCATCAATCACCAATTAAGAAAATGCCTTACAGCTGGATCTCATGGAGGCATTTCCTCAGCTTATGCTCCTTCCTCTCTGATGACTTTAGCTTGGGCCAAGTTGACACACAAACCAGCCAGTATACCTAGGCAGCATTTAATAAAATTTTAACTAACATGTGAGCTGAGACAATGGCTCAGTTGGCAAGATACTTGCCATACAAGCATGAGGACCCAAGCTTGATTGCCCATAGGAAAAAATAATCAATGCTAAGACTGGGCAAATAACTGCATGGATAACTTGTTTGCCACACAAGCATGTGAAGCCTGGAGTTTTGATCTCAAAGCCAGGCAGATGTATAGGAAAACAGGATTTCTGGAGTAAGCTGGCTAGCTAAACTACACAGGATTGGTGAGAACAGGGTTAATCGAGAGACCCAATCTCAACAAAATAAAGGGGCGGAGCTATTGAAGAAGATATCCAGATTAATTTCAGGCATTCACAGAAACACACACACACACACACACACACACACACACACACACACACACACACACACAATGACTTTTAAAAGCTAGATACTAGAGCTGTGTGGTGTTGGCTCACGCCTTTAATCCCAGCACTCAGGAGGCAGAGGCAGGCAGATCTCTGTGAGTTTGAGGCCAGCCTGGTCTACAGAGTGAGTTCCATTATGGCCAGGGTTACACAAAGAAACCCTGAGTTGAAAAGCAAAAACACAAACAAACAAACAAAAAAGCTGGATACTCTGATCTGTGCCTATAATCTCAGTGCTGGGGAGGCAGAGATAGAAGGTCCCTTGCTCTCTGGCAGTCAGTCCAGTCTCATTAGCTTAAGGTTCAGCCAAAGACCTTGTCTCATAAGCATAGACTACAGCATGATTGAGGAGACATCAAATGTTGACCTCTGACCTCTACAGGTGCTCACACACACAACAAACTTAAAATTTATATTAATATCATTTTCATTAATATTCATCTACTGTCTGGACACTTGTGACAAGATTATTTTTATTCCAGCCTGCAAAGTATATAACTAAGAGAAATACAGGAGCTGGGACCCACTCCGTCCTTTAAAGCCAGCCTTTAAAAAAAAATGCTGGCCTTATAGCCAAGCACTGCATGGAGGACTTTCCTCCCCCTCCCTCTTTCATCTCCCCACAAACATTTCTTATATATATTTGAGGTGTTGGTATTGCATTGGATTTTAGGAGAATAATGAGAAGATAGACACAGCTTATGGTCAGGGAGAAAAAAAAATGACAAAATTACTTCAGGTGTTGAGCCTGAAGAGATGAGCTCTGAGTTCTTCACAAGGGGTTCACAGAACACAGGTTCTCCAAAAGTTCAGGCACACAGCATGTTATGAACTTACATTTTTGAAGCCTGTTATTTGACTGTCATTAATTCAGTGGTGCTTTCATCCTATGGTCCCTAAACAAGACTGCCATTTTCCAGTGAGCTACCAAAACAATTCATACATTTCCAAGCCCATATTTTAAGTGACAAAGTGGACCTTCATTTTCAGATTTGAACATAACAATTGGGCTTTCCCCATCAGCTATCACTGATTAAAACAAAAACAAACAAACAAAAAAAACGAAGTATGAATTTAGTTTAAAAAACTTTTCAAAATATATCTATAACTGTTTATTTTAGCCAAGAGTTTTAAGACTCTTCTGGATAACTCATAGGGATGGAGAATTTATACTGATTGATTGATTGATTGATTGATAAATCATGTGTGAGAACCAAGTGCAGTCTCATTTAATTCACACAACAAGGAAGGCAAATCAGTTTTGTTTCTATCTCTTTTTATGTTTTAGGAAACTAAGACAGGGAGATTTTGAAACTTAGTCCAAATTTCATATCGAGCTCATATTTAAAGCCAAGGATACTATTTATTGGCTCTGAATGGTACTCCTAATTTGGGTATGAGTGCCCTGGCCATTTATAGATCAAGAAAGGGGTTTCCTTCTACATCCCTGGTCTGTGTGACTTTATATAAGCACCACTAGTGCAAACAAGATTTGTTTTTCCAACCATCTGTCTCTTCTGCATTGCCTAACACAGCTCTCCTCCGGCTTCTACCCATCAAGTCATAATGTTCTTTCTTCCATTCACAGACAAAGACAATGCTTGTTTCTTAAACTAATGATCTATTTTATATCTCCCATTTCTGATTTTCCCTTGTTCTTTCATTCTGATGATCAGCTATCAGGGTCACTAGGGTTATTTTATATTGTCCAAAGTAACTCTAACCAGGCTTCCTAAGACTGTGTAATGTGCTAACTTAAGAATCACAGCCCTAGATAATAAGAGTTAAAAGTGATGGTTAAGACCTTTTAAACTCCATCCCCAGATCACAGTTCTTGTTAGTCTTCAACATTCTTTTCCTATGTAGCGAATTGAAGTTCCTAGCCCAATGTCAAGCATGTAGGAGAATTCATCCAAGCATCCAGCCATGTACATAGTGTTCATAGAATGCACATTGCTCTAGATCATCTCTTGGCTTCACTCATGCAATCACTATGGACCATCCCTTGACATCTTGCATGGAGTAACCCCTGGAGCATCTCTGGGTGTCATATGTGCAGTATCCCTGTTTCCATCTCTTCCTCTCTGCTTTCATCTTCAAACATAACAGTTTGTATTTTTTCAAACATTTCTGATGCTCTTGTAGGTCCCAAAGCTACTGTGTGTGCACTCTTCTAATCCTCCCAATACCCCGATGTTGTGGGAATTAGCAACAGTCCCTCCAACTCCAAGATCTGTGTTTCTGAGTTTGCAACACAGAAATTAAAATAATGCTACCTGCTCGGACTGTTTTAAGTGAGTTAATATAAGAAGTCCCCAGGATAGGGTAAGCTCTGAAGAGCTTTTATTTAGGAGTGTTATTCGGCTATCTTATAAATTTGGAAATTGAAGTTCATATGGAGTTATAACCAGAACAATCAAAATTCAAACACAGCCGTGTCTCCAGAGTCTAAACCACTCTCCACTGCTCCACCACTTGCATTTTCATCTTCTTTATTCAAATATCCCACCCTCTCTAATGTCAGTCCTCATTTGTATTCCAAGAATACCTTCGAATGTGGTGCATAACATTGACCCTGAAAGACAATACAGAGCTACACACCTAAGACAGGTAAGATGTCAAATATACGAGATATGATATTCTTGTGTCAATTGCCTTGACAGGTGGTGCAAATTTCCCATTCTCTGCATGTACCGAGAAGATTCGTGGAATAGTCCCTGTGGATACTTCTAGCTGTGGCTAAGATTCTTAATCCAGTGCCTTGGACCACTCTGCCACGCTACTCAGCTACAGCTAAGATTTTTTACACCACAAAGACAACAAAAATCAGAGTCAGCAAATGGAAATGGTGCTTGGGGCAAAATCTGCAGGGGAGGAGGCCAAATTTCCAGGAGTCATTTCCCAGTGGGGGCCCTCAAGATGGGCCCATTTCTCTGGCAATGAGTGAGGACAGCAGGTAGGAAAGGGGGAATTATCAGGGGTACTCCCCCAGAGATGTTTGCCCAGGGGTTTCACTGTGGGCCTAGGACACAATAAGATTCCAGACTTAAGAGCCCTTTCTGTCCTTCTTTGGGTACTATGAAAGCAGGTGTTCAGTCCGAACCAATCCTTGTGTCATTAGACAGACCACATTGTTTGTCCCACTTTAGAAATGTGGGGGACACTCCAGTGGCAGAAGCTTCTTTGTGTTAACTTGGAGGGGTGTTGGAAAGAGATGAACATTTGAATCAGTGGGTATCTGTGGCTATAAATAACATAGAGGAGCCCATCTAGTGAACAAGAGGCCTGGAAGAATAATACCCAGCCTGCCTCCCTGAGCAAGAGTGAAATCCTGAACAGACGCTTCTGGACTTCAAATCAGCTCACCCGTGTTTCTTCCCACCAGCCCGTGGACTGGAACTGCACATCAGCTCTTTTGAGTCTAAAGCCTGCCTAGCTACTCTGCAGATTTTGGACTCACTATCAGTGGCTTGTTAGTCAGTTTCGTACAAGACACTTTCTTCTCATCCTACTGGTTCTGTTTCTCCAGAAACCTTGACCCCTCCCCAAACTAAATTTTTCCAGATACCAGCCAAGCCTCAACCTTGCAAGTAGATTTTGCAAGAATTGCAGAGCCCTTGAGAGAAGTCTCCCTCCACTGTGCCTTCCTGTTAACTCATTTCTGCACATTACTAACTTGCGTGCCAGAAGTCACATGGTTGTTAAACCATGGAGCAGTGGAGCTCACAAGCAATCATGGAGTTGAAGAAAAAGTACATGGACAGAAGTTGACTGTTAGTGTAGGAATGGTTGAGACAGCGGGCACAGAACCCGGGTCAGTGGCTTTCCTGGGGTAGGGGAACATTCAATGAGGACTCCAGAGTAATGAGACTAATTGTGGAGGACTGAAGAAGGCTAGAAACTCTTTGCCATTCCTTACACGAATAAGTAGAGTTGATTTCCTGTATTCCTAGATCTGGAATGGTATGTATTTACTGTCTCTAATAGAATGCAGTCAGTGTGGCATTGTGGAAGTCCTGGAAAGGAGCTTTAAGCAGCCTGGCCCTTTTGTGTTTCTGTTCTTGGGACCCCTGAATAGACAGGTGATGATGCCTGAGTACCTGCTGAAGAAACCAAGAGAAGGGGTGAGGGAGAACAGCCAGACACAATAGGACCAGCTGTTCCAACTGAGGTGACACCCAGCTAATTAATGTCACTGTGCCTTAGCCAAAGTCAGCCTCAGAGGAAGCGTTGGATAAAGACAGACTGTCATAGCATCACCCTGCAGGGTCCCACGGTGACCACGGAATCATGAACAAATAATACAATGAGGTGGCTTGAAGCCAGTAACTGTGGGCATCTGACTTCACAGCAAGAGATAAGCATTACAGAGTGGCAGCTGGGACAGTCGGAGCACAGTGGCTTCCTTGTAATGATGGAGCCCAGAGCAAAAAGCAGGAGCAAGACATCTGAGCTGAGGCAGCAGGGCGGCTCGGATCTTTTCCTGCCAGTTTTCCACTGTTTCACAACACTGACGTGTGTCACTTCACAGCAAAAACAATCTGTACCCTTCTGAATGAGGCACTACCCCGGAATCTCTTCCAGACCTCATCAGCCCTCAAACCACGGTCTGTGAGCAGCCGAGGGAGATCCCATACACAGTGAGTCATGTTTATCTTTGGAGTGCTGAACGCCTTGTGTGGATCTTAGGTCACCGCTGACCCGTAGCCTGCAGCTTGTTTCTTCACCGGGAGCCAAAACACAGTGCATAACCTCATCTCCGGCAACATTCTCAACAGGGCCCGAGTGTCTGTGCACGGGTGCCAAATGTGCCTACAGTGAGTCCAGAAATGTAAGAATTGCCCACAGCCAGTCTGGCCGATTTTCTGGACAGTACTGTTGAGGTACTTAATTACAACACTTAAATCTAAATGTGCGTATCCAGGCACTGGATGCTCCATTTATAGCACAAGGGGAATTCACCTATCCATTTAGCAACACAGCGGGGGAGGGGGGCTGGAGGGTGGGGGGGACACTTAGCCTGTCACAGACACATTTAGAAGCCGTGCTTCCTGAACTCCGGGGATTGCTTTTATGTCTCTCACAAGAGATAAGACAGGATCATAAGGGGATCTGGTCAAGGCAACACATGGGTAAATGGCATAACAGAGAATACGGTGAGAGGAAAGTTCGGGGATGGCGGACATCACTTCTGGCCAAAGGAAATAGAAACTTGAAAGATTTCTTAGAAGTGTAATCTATCACCCTCAAACTCGGCATTTAAAAGCCCCACACAGTTATTAGCTATATGACCTTGTGCAAATCATAAATTTTCGACGTCTTAGTTTGCTTATCTTTTTAAAAGGAAGGGTTGGGCTAAGCGATCTTAAAGGTTTTTCTGCTCTAAAGACCTGGGATACATGAGTTTTCATGAGAAGACCCAGCTAAATGTGTGACAATCTATTCTTCATACAACCAGAGTGGCTTTTAAAACCCAAATAAGATAATGTTTCCCATGGCTTAAAACCCTTTCATGGCAGCATTTCAAAGAAAGCCCAAACTCTTGTGATGCGCAGTTGCCTGTGCTCCCAGCAACTCTGACTCCCCCATCCTCCCTCTGGCCTTCACCCATTCACCCAGGGGCTTCTTTCCCTCTGTCTGAATGTAGGAATTGTATTTTTCAGGGTAGCTGTGTTTCAATTCTTGTTCCTCTGAACCCCTGCTTCCTCTGAGCTAGGCAGTCTGGGAGTGGAAAACAGTACCACCCAGGAATCCTGGCAGGGTGAACCGTTGCAGGGAGAGCTGGCAAGGCGGAGTGTAGGCTTCTCCTTTGCTCTATACTGACTTTCAGATCCATCTCTTGACTTCTCCCCACACTTCCATCTCTGGCTTTCAGGGCTTTCAATTGCTGAAGGTTTTTGGGGAGGCTTGACAATGTGCCTTAGATCCACTACTAAGTGCTCAGTGTTTTGCATTGTGCTAGCCCACCCAACCTTGCACTTTTCAGCTTACAAAAATGTCTTCACTCTTAGAGTCTACAATCCTCTCCTCTCCTCTCCCCTCCCCTCTCCTCCTCTTCTCTCTTCTACTCTCATTTCTTCTCCCCTTCTTTCCTCTCCTCTTCCCCTCTCCTTGGCCTTATCTCCCTCTCCTTCTCCCTTCCCCCCCTCCTTGCCACTCAGTTCTCTCCTTTCCTCTCTCTTTTTTTGTCCCTCCCTTCTTTCCACCCATTCTCTCTGTCTTTGTTTGTGCAAAGACAAGGATTAAGGAATGCCTCATTTCTCCCGTGTTTAGATGGAGTGCATCTGGTTTCCTCTTATGGTTGTTCCTCCTTGTTTAGGTATTAGTTAATGTAAGAGCTGGATTCCAGTGCCTGTTCTGAGCCCCAGTAGGTCCCTCCTGGAACTGTTTATTAAAGAGTCCTGCTGGCTTCTTTCTCAACATTTGCTGTAATATTCAGCTATGTTGTCATTACTTAGCAATTCAGTGATTTTAAGTCTACCGCTCCCACTACAATGCACTCACAGGGGAGGCAGGGGCCATCCTTTTCCTCCCATCAGTTAGTGCTAAGTGCTTAACACAGTACCTCATTTTGGACAAATGCTTGAGGATTCCTCCTAATGAATGTTGGCACTCTCCATTAACTGAGATTTGCTGAGGGGAAAACGGGGTGAAAAGAGACAAAGATCAGCAAATCACACGAGGGAGAAGACTCAGGAACATCATCTTTGGTGTGCAAACTTTAGAATAGGAGCTGTAAGACCTCTCAGATGAATTATGTAACAGGGGACAGAGATAATGATATCCCAAATGAATTACATAAGAGTGAGGGGCAGAGTTAACGATTGTACATTCACTCCTGAGGCTGCCGTACAATTACAATGAGTCCATATAGGTAGAGCTGTGGGAGCAGTGTCTGGCACGTAGTGTTGGAGTAGTTGGTTGGCGATGGAAGCTGTATATCCAAGACCTGTTCATTGCTTTAAGCCTCTGTGGTTATTCAGGAATATTTATTGCACCGAATAACTAATGCAATGTACAACTGGTGGAAATCTCACAAAGCAACCCAAAACCTCATTTCCTTCCTCTCATGGGTTGTCAAACCTGTTTACCAGATTTCAAAGCTCTCTTTTGTTATTCTGACTTTTTGTGTGTTTGTGTATTGTTTGTTTGTTTGGCTACTACTACAGTCTGAATCCATCACAGCAAATTTCATATGGAAACTCAGTCGCTATTTTGTTACAATTAAAACACAGAGCCTGCAAGAAATCCTGGATCACAGGGGTCAGCTCTCAGCTGGGATTAGTGCTCCATAAATGACCCTGATGGTATCTGCTAGCCTCTCCATTATGAGGACATAGCTTACAAGCTTCGTATCAAACATGACATCTCTTTGTCCCTCCCTCACTCACCAAGAAGTCTACCACACCTGTGAGTACATGGGAAGCACACATTGAACTTGGTGGGCCATAAGAGGCTGGGAAAAGGCTGGGGTGGATCTGGAGGAGTTAGGGGAATAGTGTAAATGAAAATGATCAAAGTGCATCACATGTGTGTATGAAATTTTCAAAGGATTAGCCAAAATGTTATATTAAATAAAAGAGCTCTACCACTAAGCTGTATTCCACCTACAAACACCGAACATTCTGATGTCTTTTTCTGGCACCTCTGAGCCTCCAGAAAAGGGAGGACTAAATCACTGCTTTTCATAACTCAACTAAGCTGTGTGTGAGAGAGGGGTACACGTGTGTCAAGCTATGGTTGTGAAGGGCTACACAGGCCAAGGTATGGGCATGGAGGTGTGTGTGGGAGGAGGGCTACACATGTACCAGGGTATGGTGATGGGGGATGTTCTTCTGTATGCTGTGAATATACAATATACGTTTCTCTTATTGGTTGTTGAATAAAGCTGTTTTGGCCGATGTACTGGCGGGATGTAGTCAGGCAGGAAGAATAGGCAGGGCTACCAGACTAGAATTCTGAGAAGAGGAACAGAGAGAGTGAGTTGTGGGAGAGATGCCATGTAGCTGCCCAGAAAGAAAGAGGTCTGGACATCACCAGTAAGCCAAGACCACATGGAGATACACAGATTAATAGAAATGGGTTAAAAATTAAGAGAGAGCTAGCCAATAAGAAGCCTAAGCTATAGGCCAAACAGTTTATAATTAATATAAGCCTCTGTGTATATATTGGAGATTAAACAGCTGCAGGGCTGGTCTACATATGGATGAGGAGGTATGGGGAGTACACATGTACCAGGAGTACGGTTATGCAGGCATGGGGGGAGGGGTAACACATGTGCCAGGGTATGGATGTGGAGGTCAGAGGACAATTTAAAGACTTCGTTCTCTGCTTGCACTATGTGGGTTCCAGGGATTGAACACAGGTTATCAGGATTGGTGACAAGTGTCTATACCTCCTTAGCTATCTCACTGGTCCCCAGTTTGCTTCCAGAGATGTCATGTCCTTTTTCTTAGGCAGCAACTCGTGACAGTCATCCCATGATAGCAAGGTTCCCTCTAAGACTCATCATCTCTTGCCTTGGACCACCACTGGCAACATCATGAGGCCAGGAAACACCTCTCTGCCTCTCAGGCTAGTCACAAGCTAATCTCAGCTAAACAACAAAGCTTACCAAAGAATTGAATTAGTTATTTCCATAAAAGTGGATCCTCTTTTATACATGCCCCATCATTAATAGTTCAAAATCCTCAGACTCTAGCTAAGCCAAATGTCCTGAATCCCATGTATTCTGGGGACAGAATTATATTTCACTGTAGGGACATTTTCCTTGACCTTCTGTTGCCAAATACTTTACTCCAGAGTTTTCTGCTCCTTCCCTTCTTGTCCCTCTTTCCTCATTCATCTTACCTAAAACACACACAGGCACACACACACACACACACACACACACACACACACAGAGAGAGAGAGAGAGAGAGAGAGAGAGAGAGAGAGAGAGAGAGAGAGAAAGAGAGAGAGAGATTCTGATTAAGGCTATTCTTGTTGCCATGTAAGACTTGCTGGCCAAATTGTGGTGAAATTTAACAATGTGGTGAGAACAAGAAATTGTGGCGTCGGGGATAAGTAGTGTCCTGGTGATGCCAGGGGCTACTCGTCGAGCTGAAGGTGTGCTGAAAATGGCAGACACTTCTTAAAATGGCCCTTGGAAGAGCCAATGGGAATCCCAAGTAAATGTCAGCCTTCTTGCTGACAGACAGGGAGGGGGAGTTGGGGAAGAGGGACTTCTATTTTCCCAGTCAGGGTGAATTTCCTCCATTGTGATAAGTGACCTCTTCTATTTCCTAGCAAACTAGATTATAACCCTCCAAAATGAAACACCTCGCCACTAATACCTTCATGAAATGGGGTGGACAGCTGTTGTATTTGCCTGTCTAGGCTGTATCACTCTCTAGTCTGATAACAGTCCGCTGGGATCATGGTGGGGGACAGCTCACTCCATACTGGTGTCTAGGGCAGGCTCAAGACTCAAGCTGTGTCACCCCAGAAAGGAACACACTTGCCAAAAAAACTTTCTAAAATGAAACTCATTCACATGCCTTGATTCCAACCTCAGTAACCTGAAGAGGATCCAGGCTGAACCTAGGCTCTCATAGCTGCTCACACACCTGTACTGAGACCGGACTCTTATGCCATCATTTTTATTCTGGGAGCCAGTCCTAGACTTTTCTTTCTCTTTCCTTTTGAAATCTTACAATATGGGTCTCTTGTGTCTTGTGTCTTCAGTCAAATACCTCAAAGACCCAGTGGAAGAAGAGATGGACCTGGGATATCACGAGAGGAAATTTTGTAACCATGCTCATTCATTATTTGCTCTATTGGGGAGTCTGTGGTGTTTCCCAAAAGTATATGTGCTAAAAAGGCATAGTCCCAGCTTGGTTTTATTGACAAATGGCAGAACCTTTAGGATATTAGACCCAGGGAGAGGTCACTGGGGATGCATCTCTGCAGGGGACAGTGAGACTCTTGCCATTCTTTGCTCCTTCTTTGCCTTTTCTACCTCATCTGTACCATATGTTCATACCACGAGAGTCTGTGCTGCCACTGGCCCAAAGCAGTGGGATCAAGCAACTATGAACCCTCTAAGTCTGCGAACCCAAATAAATGTGTCTTCTCATAAGTAGATTTATTTCTAGTATTTATTGTGATAGCAAAGATTTGACAAAAACAAACATGTACAGCAGGAAAGCCTGATTCTCTCATTTCTTGTTCATGTTCATTTCACCATGAAGTCACAAATTTCACGGTAACCCTCCTTCCCCCTACCATAGCCATCATTTCTTTACTGAATACATTTTGAACACCTGCTGTATGTCAGACTGTGATTGTAATGGCAAAAATTCTGTTTTTGGTGAGGCTTGCATTCCAAAAGGAAAAAGAGACATTACTGAAGCAAACAAGTAGATTAGCAAAGCAGCTGGACACAACAGTATGAAATAGGAGAGTGGCACAGAGTAACCACAGCCTTGTGGTTAGGGGAAACCTGCCTGAAGAGCAGACTTTCAAGACATAGATCATTTTGGGGGAAGCAACCATGTGAAACTGTGTGGGAAGGAATGTTATCTAGGCAAACAAAACAGCAAGGGAAAAGCCCCGACGTGGGGACAAGCATGATGTATCACAACACATGTGAGAGAAAGATACAAAATGGCCAAGGACATTTGCAGGGGCCAAGTCATGCTTGGGCTTCTAGACTTCACTAAGCTAAGAAGCTTGGATTCATCTTCATTACTGGTAAGGTCTGGGAAAAGAATGCCGCAATGTAATTTGTGTTATTACCATAATTGGTCAAAGCGTTGGTAATTGATTATAGGAAGAAGAAACCAGATGGTGGCCATTAATAGTCATTCGTTCTTTCAGGAAATAATGAGACTCAGGTGAACATGGTGAGAGAGAGGTGAGGGGACCCAAGATGTGTTTGGCCATGCAGCTACAGGTGCTGGAAAAGGATGCATAGGACTCTGCTTTTTCCTAAGATGAGGAAAACTTAGAGGTGGGATAGGAAAGGAAGACGTCAAAGCTCCGTGCCAAGGAGAAAATTGTCCTTCAGATGCCCATGTTCAGCTGTCTGGAGTCCTGTGGAATGTGGGGTTAATGCAAAGTTGGAAGCCCTTAGCATATAAATGGTGATTGTAGCATATAGATGGTTTAATTATGGTTTGAGAATCCTGTACCAGGCTTTTTCTTTAGGCCCATCAATCAGCTTCCAAATCATTACATGGAAACTTATTAGTTTTGAATGCTCTGCCTAGCTTAGGCACATTTCTGGCTATCTCTTTCAACTTAAATTAACCAGTTTCTCTTTATTTACTTTTTGCCTTAAGGATTTTTACTTTTCTTACTTCTGTATATTTTACTTTCACTGCTTCTCATGTCTGCTGACTGGCAGCTGCCTGGATTCTTGACCCGGGAGTGTCCCTCATTCTCTCCTCCCCCTTTTCTTGTTCCTCTGCAATTGACAGTTCTCTTTGCCCTCCAGCCCTGCTTATGCCTCTTCTTCCTAGCTGTTGGCCGTTTAGCTCTTTATTAGCGCAATCAGGTGCCTTAGGCAGGCAAGGTGAAACAGGTGCAACACATCTTTACATAATTAGGCACACATCCTTACATCATCAAACAGTTGCAGCACAGATGTAATGCACCTTCGCACAGGTAAAGTCACGTTCTGCAGCATAAACAAATGTAACATATCTTTGTCTTGTTAAAATAACATCCCACAATAGTGTCCCCGAAAAGTTCATGCATTGATTGTAAGCTTGATCCTCAATGTGGTGGCAGAGGCTGCATTAGTCATTTTCCCATTGGTGTAATAAAAAATGCCATCACCAAAAGCAACTCAGGGAAAGAAACATGCATTTTTTGGCTTACAGTGTCAGAGGGATAAAGTTCATCATGGGAAGCAGAAGGTGAGAAAAGGAAGGCTATAAAACCTCAAAGCCCACCCCCAGTGATAGACTTCCTCCAGCAGAGGTACCATTTCCTGAAAGCTTCATAACCTCCCTAATATCTCTACCAGTGGGAGACCAAGTGCTCAAAGGCATGCGTCTGTGGAGGTGCATTGCTCATTCAAACCGCCACACATGTAGCGAACCTTAAAGAGGTGGACCTACAGTGAGGTCCTTAAACTCTCAGAGGTACTGTGCTCAGAAAGGAATACAGGGCTCCAGGAGGAAGAACAAGTTATCTTAAGCTTGGAGAGTACTTGGAGTCACTGCCTCTGGCTTCCATCTTTGAAATGGGATAGTTACCCCTACACATGCTCTGCTATCTGCTCTGGGTTCTTATTTGTGTCATGATTCTTGGACATTGGACCCCGGAACTACACATTAAAAAACCTTCTTTACTTATAAAGTTAATCTGCCTCTGGTGTTTTAGTATAGTGATTAAAAATGGGTTGGCAGAGGTGGTGTTTATGATCGTGGGAATACATGAAATAGCCAAAGGAAAATTATGCTAACTGATGAAAAAGGGGCTATAGATGAAGCCTATGTGAATTTGTTAAAAAGTTTAACTATCATTGGTAATTTAATAAGTCATAAACTTTCAAAAACACTTAAGCTCTTCAGCCAGATATCTGATAAGTTTAACATCTAATATGTTTTTAATATATTTGTAATAATTCTTTGATAATTTCATATGTGTATACAATGTATTTTTACCATCTATACCCCTCCACCCTGGCCCTTCACTCTTTCCAAATTCTTCACACCCCTCAAATTTGTGTCTTTTTTTAATGAAAAAAGATTCCATACAGTTCATTTTGATTATGCTTTTCTTCTCCAAATTTCTCCTATTCTCCACACCTCCCTCACCACCCAATTTTATGCTTTCTCTCTCTCTCTCTCTCTCTCTCTCTCTCTCTCTCTCTCACACACACACACACACACACACACACACACACACATACACACATACACACACACAAACAAAACTAAACAAAATCAAGATACACAAACCACAAAAATGGAAATCAAAATAAACAAGAAAAAACAAATAAAACAAATAATACCAAAGAAAAGCAAAATGAGACAAAAAGTCTACAAAAATTCCATTGAGGTGGTTTTGTATTGGCATGGGGCATGAGGCTTGCCCTGAAGTATGGTTAATATACCCTGTGAGACTCCACAGAAACCCAATTTTTCCGTTTCCAGGAGTTATCAATTGCAGATAGTGTCTTGGTGAGGGTGGGAGCCAGTGTCCATTTCCTGTTCTGAGTGCTGGGACCCCTTCTGGCTTGAACCTGTGCAGGTCTTGTACATGCTACCACAGTCTCTGAATTCATAAGTGCATCAGTCCTGTTCTGTCTGGAGGACACCGTTTCCTTGGAGTCAATCATCCATCCCCTGTGGTGTGTACCCCCTCCCCACATCTACTTCTGCAGTTTCCTGGCTTCAGGGGAGGGATGTGAAGACATCCACTGAGGACTGAGTGCTTCAACATCTCTCTATGCACTTGGCGCAGCTGTGGGTCTCTATGTTAGTTCCCATCCATTTCAAAACGAAGCATCACTGATGAGAACTGAGAGGGACTCTGATCTCCAGGTATAATAGGATGTCATTATGAGTCATTTTATGGCTCTTTCATTAGCAGAGCAATAGGTGGATGTTTTCCCTAGGCCCAGGACCATTCTAGTCTCAGGTTCTTGGCCATTGTAGCAGGAAACAGTGTTGGGCTGGCATTTGTGGTCTCATAGAATTAGTAGAGGCCCCTCCACCTTTCAGAATCTCCATTGAGATATTAGGTATTATTCTGAGCTGGCCATTTCCCCACACAGCTTTTAATACCCTTGATTTGTTCTGAACACTAAGTGATCTTTATTATTACAAGTGGTGGGGAGTTTCTTTTCTGGTCCTGTATGTTTGGTATTCTGTATGCTTCTTGTACCTTGATATTGCATTTCTCAGGGCTTATGTCAGCAGGGTTACTGGCTTCTTGAGAAGGCTTATTGACACGATTATTGATATTCGTGTTTTTGCACTGGGATCTAGGCATCTGGGGTTATGATGTTTGAGGTTCTTGGTGTTGATATTTGGTCATGACTTTGATAATTGAGTGTTCTGTATTTTTAGTTGCTGTGGTCTTCTCTGTATCCTAGGCAAGTGTGGTAGCTGTAGGCTCCCATCTGCAGGTCAGTGAGTGGCACAAAGAAATGGAGATTGGAGAGGAAGAGCAGCTGGGAGACAGGGTGTGAGAAGGAGCTAGGGGATTGGGATCCACAACAACAAGTGGATTCCCCAGGCAATGGAGGTGGGGCAGGACAAGGGCCTCCTGCAAGCCTTCTACTACAGGACTGAGAGTGAGTGTGGAGAGCTCATAGAGGAGGACAGGAAGGCTAGTGAAAACAGCCTACCTGAGTTCCAGCCCAGTGTGATCTTTGAGAGTGGGTCCCTGGTAAAGGAGAGTGTTTCCAAGGATCAGTGGCTGACACAAAGAATGGAAATGGCCTAGAAGGGAAGGCTGTGAGGGTTAGGTACGAAAGAGGTAAGCTGTGAGCTAGCTCACAGCTGTGGTGTCAGCCACTGGAGCCTAGGTGAACCTACTAGGGATCAGCCTTAAGGAAAATTGACTCTGTCTCCCAGAAGCTATCAACTGTCCAGAGCCCATCAGCTAGAGGCTGGTGCTCATGAGCTCCTCTCTATACGGAATGTTGACTGTTGCTAGAATGTTGCCTCCACCGAGGCAGCCATTTTTTTTTTCTTGTTCACTGCAATATCCCACACAATTATAACTAGATTCTGGCACACAGAAATAATAACTATGCCACTAATGAATGAATAACTTAATGTCACAAAAGAGGTGGTTCTTTAGCAAACAGTATTTACTTATCATCCACATTTACTATCTAGATACTATCATCTTTATTGCGAAATACCAAGAAAAACGAAAGCTTTCTAAGAAGCGAGGCTTTCAACAAGCCTTTGTCTTATTCTTGGTTGAAAATCGGTGTTGTATAGTAAGTATACAAAGTGGTGTTTTCCTTCCATTTTAAATCCTCACAGAAGCAGTTTCAGAAGTAACAACATAACGTAATATATAAAAGTAATAATCAGAAGACAGAGAGGCCGTCAATTTTAGAGAGAGTGGGTGAGGGGTTGGAGGGAAGAAAGGGAAGGGGAAACGATGTCTTTATATTTTTAATTAAAATAAAAGATAAAATTTATGAAGAAAATAAAAAAAACTTTTGGAAAATTGGACGTAAAACACAAAGTGTTTTACCTAATGTGTGTGAGACCCGGGTTTGATCCCAGCCATGGAGCAGAGGAGGATTTTCAGTCCATTCGCCACACCCCTTATCATTTAAGTCAGGAGTATCTTTTCATAGGGCAAGTAAAGCAGTTACCCACCATGTGACGTGCTCTGGCCAATGAGATGCAAGAAAATGTTTGCTTGCTCTTCTGCAGTTTAATTTGTCCCATTGGGCAAGTCTTAGTCAGACCCTCACCCCAGAATGAAACAGACAAAGCCAACTTGAACACATCCATTGAGCAAGATGAAATCTTACTGCCCATGCGCAGATCCCCGAAAACGGAGACTGCAGTCGCAAGCCGAGAGTCAATGTTGTTTGCTACCTAGAATTAGAATACTTAAAAAAAAAATCAACTAATACCATTTCAAATATAGGTCACCATAGTGGTTGCTCTCCTAGTTGGAATTCAAAGTAGAAAGAAACTTCTATCTTCCATTAAAACCAGCATGAAGGGGTTTTTTGTTTGTTTGGTTGGTTGGTTGATTGGTTTTTTGTTTGTTTGGTTTTTTGCCTTGAAGGTAAGTGCTTTAAAAAGCCCAAAGTGAGTCTTACTTCCTAAAGGAAATGTCACTTAAGATGCCATTCTTATGAAGATAAAATAGTCATGCCCTGAAAATGAGCGAGAGAGGAAGTGAGTCCAGCCTGAGCCACGTCGCCTCCGCCCTTGGGTGAGCCACTGCAGTCTGGCAATCCGGAATGTTCCCCCAGTAGCCAGAGCACGAGGAAGGGAGGGCAGTGTTAGCTACTTTCTGATCTAGCGTTAGATTTTCCGCTCTTCTTTAAGACCAGAGTAAAAATAGGGTAGACGTATTTTATTAATGAGTGGAAATAACTTAAAAGCACATTTTGAAAACACTCCACGCAAATAAATTATCCTGATTTTATAAGCAGAATAATCTTTAAATCAATGGAAAGAAAAAGAAGCGCAAGCCCCCAGATCAAACCCAGTAGAAATGATAAACTTTGTAGGCCAGGGAGCCCATTCCGCGCAACAGCTTGTAGACACTTTTCTTTGATTTAAAAACAATAAAAAGAAAAAAAACGTACTGAAGCACACCATGTTTGGTTATATGAATAAGCTTTTTGAAATCACCAGTGACTAGAAGGCAAGGCTGTTGAAAGTTAATCATGTCTAATGTGATAGCTCAAGCGCCTTTGACTTGCTCTCTGCGTTAGCCTTGTCCACTGGTCTCAGAGCCGCTTCTCTAACAATGATGGACGAGCGGTGCCAAACTTTGCCTCCCCATTATGTCCAAGAGTCTGAGGGCAGGAGTGGAGCCAGAGAAATGATTGCCCTCTTCAAGGCAAACTCTGGGGGAGGGGATTCCTTTTGGGTTTTCTTTTTCTTTCTTTTTATTTTTTTTAACTCCTCTTTAAGGAAGACGATCTGTCTCGGTGCCATGTCTGGTGTTCTCCTGATCGCTCTCTGCGGTCTGCCTGCAGCCAGCAATCTGCTACAGCCGGCTGCTTTGTTCCGCCCAGGAGCCCTGTCATCTCTCAAGGAAGGAGAATCATCAATGGCATCTCACTTCAACAAATTAGCCACAGTGTTTACACTGCAGGTCCGCGGGCTGGACTCTCTTGTGTTTCAAGAAATTCCCAGGATTCTAATGGTTTTCAAAGTGGGAGGGTTTTGATAATATGTATTTTATTTCTCTGGCTTAGCCTACATGGTTCCTTATGATCCTGCTAGACACTTAAAGCAGAATCCCAGAAACACACACATGCATACAGTCATACACAATCATACACATACACAAACACACACTCAGACACATATACTCACACACACATTCTCACACACTCACACACGCATTCTCACATACACAAACACACACACACTCATATACACAAACATTCTCACATACAAAAACACACTCACACACAAACATTCTCACACAAACACTCACACACACACATTCTCACATACACAAACACACTCACACACACACATCCTCACACAAACACACACAAACACTCACACATAAACTCAGACACACACACACATTCTAACACACACACACACACACACACACACACACACACACACTGCTGATAATAAAGCTGAGCACAGGAAAGAACAGATCTTAAAGTCAGGAACCCATGAGACTATGTCCTAATTCTGTTTCAGGTAAGTGGCTTGTATAACTTGCACTTCCAGTTTAAAAGTTTACAGTGATGGTCACGTCAGATATTCCTAGCATCTCTCCCAGCTTTACATTCTCTGTCTTTGGACTACTGATGGGTGGCCCAATAGAACTGCATTTTCTTACATCAAGTCAGTAGGAACCACTGTCACACTAAACAGAAGAGTCTCATGATGGGGACAGATTGAAAAGAACACTCAAAGATCCACCAAACCCCAGCCTCAGTTTCCCCCAGAAGATGGGGGACACGGCTCCAGAGGATGCCACTGTTGGGTTCCATTAGCCGGTGCTGGTCTCTGAGAGCACTAAGAATGTATAGTTTTAGCATTTAAAGAGCTCCCGTTTTAGGGCTGAGGGAAAGGGAACAAATAATACAAAAACCCAGCATGGTCAGAAGGAGTAATGTCGCCCTAAGTTCCCTTTAAGGCCACCAGTCGATGTATGAGGAGGGGGTGAGCACATTAGTAAAACAAATGCTCATCTGCTCAGTGTCTAATTATACCTGTCACTTTCATTGTCCTCATTCAAGGCCTGATACGGTCTCTCTCTCTCTGTGAAGTCACATAGCTGTGTTTTCAGATCAATTTCAGGTCCATCTGTGTATTTTCTGTGTGACATGTCTCTTTCACGTGACAGTTCAAAATTACCCAGAGGAACCCTCAGACTTCTCTGAAGCAGAACCCAGCAGGCCAGAGACCACACAGGCCCTTTCCTTTCCTTTCCCCAGTGCCTCCTCTTGAATTCCCAGCCATCTCTCAAGGCCAAGCTCAAATCCTTATTCCTACAAGAAGTCTTTCTCGATCCCTTTCCCATCAGACCTAATCCCTCCATGCCGTCTACTCCCCGAGTGCTTTGTACCTTTATTATTTTAGCACTTACTTAGCAGAGTCTGTCTTACATTAAAGTTATTTTGTGCATATGTCTGTCCTATGGCACTTGGAGCCTCTGGAGGGGAGGAACATGGTTTATTTTCTTTTCTGCGGTGGGCGGCATCCAGCAAGATGCTTTGCACAGAGTGGGGACGTAGAAGTGTCCAGTGAATTGTAAAGACACAGAATAAGTGAGACAGGAATCTCATCTCATTTGTTCTTTTGTTTTCCCATATTAGCAAGAGGCTTTTTTTTTCCTAATGGAATAAAGCACTTAACATTGTTGGAACTCTTATAAATGCATTAAACAAGGCAAAAATAGTAAGGAAGAAACCAATTGTCCCTGTCATTTGTACATAGTGCTGTTAAAACATATTTGGGCTGTTTCATCAATGTCAAGAATGAAATTTTCCAGAGTATTCATTTGAAAGTAAATGCTCCTTTCCCTCATCCAATGGATTCATTCATAACAATTCTGTACACGCTTTAATTCAAAAGGAATGTAAACTTTTAATGAAACACTCAGGTTATTTAATTAATCATTTCCAAAAAGCCATAAAAGACATGAAAAGCCATCTTTTCACTCACACGGCTGCTTCCTAGTATAACAAACTTCTCTAATCTTAGGGCAAAGCTATAGAAATTCCTGATACAATATTTTATATTTGTCCCTTTTACCACCCCCAAGCCTCTCTGCTTATCCTCCCCACACTGTCTGTCTGTCTGACTGTCTGTCTGTCTGTCTGTCTGTCTCTTGCTTGATCAATGAAACTCAACCAAAGACTGTTCAAATGATTTTTGGTATGGTCTTTAGCTGAACCCCTCTCTGCCTCTATTTCTATTATACCTGACACCATGACATACTACACAGGTACTTGATTTTTTTAAAAGATTTGTTTAAGCATGTGAGTGTGCATGTGTGTTCACTCCTGAATGTCTTGTGTATCACATGTGCAGATTCCCCTGAAGGCAAATTTGGCACTGGATCCCCTGGAACTATAATTGTAGGAGATTTCTAGCAGACAGGTGTGGTTCCTGGGAACTGAACCCACATTTGCCACAAGAACAGTGAGAGCTCTTAACCACTGAGCCATCTCTCCAGCCCGCCTGTATATACTTCTTAAAACTCACAGACTTGTAGAAAATTGTAGAGTCTTGATTACTTTGTTCTTTTTTTGTGTGGAGTTCCCTATAGCACAACCTTCTTTAGATAAACTTAATTTTCTGTAGTAGAACAAATAAGGACATACCCTGCTCTTCCCTCCTCCTGGGTTACTATAAAATAGTGCTTATTAATATAACCTAATGTTTCATCTGCTTACAGAAAGATTTCGGTGGAGAAGCATAGGACAAATGCTACAAATCTCTGACCATAGTCACTCATTCAGCAAAATGCTGCTCACCGATACTGATTATTGAGTATTGTGAGGCACAAGATGACCTCAAAAGACTGACACTCTCAGGGAGAGAGATCATCAATCCTGTAATAAAACAACACTCCAGAGTTCCCCCTGAGGAAACAACAAAAAAGTTAAAGTAATCTGTGGAATGCAGACAAAGAACTGCACACAGTTTTATGGAGGAATTAACGCAAGGAGGAATCTGTTCTTCAATAGGTGAGAATAAAACATTCTTAATACAAGCATTAAGACTTGTATTCTGGGGCTGTGATGGAATTACCCACCTGAAAAGAGTCTTTCTACTGAGGGACTCTTTTCCAATACAGAGATAGGGAAATTGACCAAGAGAGCTTGGTGTGAAAACTAAGTAAAATAGAGATGTCTGAGAGAAAAAGGAAATGCCATTCGTGGCAGGGGTAGGGCAGCATGGGAAGGTTGTTGAGCCATCACCTTCCCAAGATGGTACTGAACTACCTGTTACTTCAAACATGTATCTGTGCTACCAACTACGTGTGAGATAACCAGCCCTGGGTCACCCTTTCACCTCTTCATCTGCTATTGGCTGTGTGAAAACTCTCTCTCTTGAGGTGCAGCTCTTATTTAATAGCCAGGGAGAAAACAAAGAATGGCACCATCAAAGTGGTTTGCTGACTTTAGCTAAGAAAAGAAAGCCCTAATGGAGTGACACAGAGTGTGGACTTTTACTATAACACGGTTAGGGCAGCCACTTCTCAAATTCAGCTCCTTTACTATAACCCTGTGGCAGGGCGGCTGTGGGACATCTCTGACATCAGGTGTTTCTGTTGGGCCGTTACTCAAGAGCCACAATGCCTGTTAACTTTGGGCAAATTACTTTCTGCCTCAATTCCCTCATCTGTAAGCGGTGATAACAATAGCATCCCTTTCACAGGATGACTGTGAACATTTGGTGGGCTACACTGGCAAACGGATTAGAACAGCAGACTGTGCACAGTATACAGGAAGCAAACACAACAGCATGCACAGTATCTGAAATACAACAATCAAACCTAAGGCCTGTCTGACTCGGATCAAGGGGCTGAGGAGGGGAATCTACTCCTATTATTTCCCACCAGCTATGGGTCCCTTCCCACCTCTTCCCTTTTTGTGTTTGTTTTGTTCAGCTGGGGAGACCACCAAGCAGGGTCTCTTCTCTATTACACAGTGAGCGCCTGATAAATATTTATACTAGAAATAATAATGATGTATATGGAAAAGAATTGCTCCATCATCTCGGGATGGGAGCCACTGCCAAGAAGTAGATGACTTCAAGCCACTCGGCTGTGCTCCATGGTATATTAGGAGAGGAAGTGAAAAACTCAACTTGTTTGGGGATTTATGATGAGAAATAGTTCTAGTAACCAGTCTCTTGGATCCAACCCAGCCTGGTAATCCCACTCGGATACATATTTGGAGGTTTTATCATAAATACAAAAGAAAAAAATTCTCACATAGCCTGAGAGACTCAAAGTGTGTGTGCGTGTGTGTGTGTGTGTGTGTGTGTGTGTGTGTGTGTGTGTGTAATGGAATTCTCCCCCACCTCCTAGCCCATAGGGATGGTGAGCAGACTGTAAGGAGAGAAGGTCGCCTCCTGGGAGATATCCTCAACCACACACATCCATTTCTTTCTGCCAAAGCACTTTCTGCACCTGCACTTACTCTAAAAGTGGACCAGAGACAGGCACAGTCTCCATTGTCACCTAGCCACTGGCCTTTCTTTATGCCAGTCCTCACACCTAGTCCTCACACTCTGTTTGACATCTACTCTACCACTTCTTACTGTACTTTTCCCTCCATTCTGCTGGGTACAGCATCCTTATTCTAGAAGGGCCTCTTTGAGCATACTTGCTGGGCATATTCATATTTTTGTGTGAAATTTTCAGGCAATGACCAAGTTGTGGCCGTGTGTCTCAGTTGAGTTTCTGTTGCTGCAATAAAGACTACACACCAAAAGCAAGTTGGGTTTCTTTTCTCTCACCCTTCATCACAGAATAGCATCTGTAAAATCTGTAAAAATCTCTGGAATTTACAGATGGAATGGAATCACCATTACCATCCAGGGCTTCCTATGGGCTTGTTATATGGGAGAAAGGTATTTTCTCTTGCCTAGGCCCCTATTTTTGTAAATGTATTCCCCGTCATATACAACTGAATTTAATCCTAAAATATAATTTAATCACAACTTGTATTAATTAACCTATTTATGTGGCAACTCCTACTCGATTTTGTAATTTTAAAATTTATTTAAAGAATTGGTTTATTTTCAATTAGTCAATTTCATTTTAGAGTACAGTTTCAGATTCATGGTAAAGTGAAGCAGAAAGTATCTAATTCCCATGTAGCACCCTCCACACATTCAGCCTCTCCCATCATCAATGACCCACTCTACATTTTGCTAACCTTGATAAAACAGCATTGACACATCATTATCAACCCAAGTCTATGGCTACCATTATGAATCGGTCTTCCATGGTAACTCTTCAGGTTTTGACAGATGTGAAATGAGATCTATTTGCCCTCATAGTAATCCTGGAGAACAATTGACTGTCCTACAAGTCCCGGAACCCCACCTACTTATCTCTCCTGACCTGACTATGAGCATTTGGCAATCGTGGGTTTTTCTACTGCCATAGTCTTAATGCACACATTCTTGGAACTACATAGTCTATAGTGTTTCTGGATGAATAAGCTTCTTTTGCTTGGTGATTCTGATGTCTCTAAGTTTCCTCCATACCCTGTAGCTCATTCCTATGGATCTGCCTCAGTTTATCTTATTGGGTATCTTGGTTGTTTTCAAGTTTGGGCAATTATAAATAAAGCTACTCTGAACTTTGGTGTGGAACTCAGCTTCTAACTCATTCCGGAAAATATTAGCAAACATGATTGCTGGATGGTAAAATTACATTTAGCTTTGTAAGAAATTGCCCCCAGAGGTCTCCCCCAGAGCAGCATCCTGACAAGGAACTAATGAGGCTTCTTACCCATCCACAGCCTCACTGGAACTGTCAGAGTTGAATTTAGGTCATTCTATTGGATGTGTGGTGGAATTCCACTGTTGTTTAAATATGCAATTCCATGAAGGTTAATGAGATCAATCACCTTTCCATAATCTTTTAAAATATAATCTCTTCTACAGTGATGTGGAATACCAGTGTTGCTCCCGCTTCTGTGTGAAAATAGATACACAAGAAAACACTGTTTTGTGTGCATTCCGGTCAGGAAGGGTACTGAACCACACTTAGTCTCCTGAGCCATAAAGTCAACTGATGCTTGCTGGCTGATGAATTTTAGGGGTCACTCTGTCTGTTTCATAGGAGCCAAGACTTTTTTTTAAAAAATACTTTGAGGAGAGGTTATGCATGGCCTTGTCTGTGTGTTACTGAATGAAGGTGACATTTGGAAAATTAGCATTTGGCATGAAAAAACAGTCCTATAGTAGACAGGCTTGGCTACCTGAAACAAGGTATGCTGGTCAGGGCCATTCTTGCTTAATGTCAGCCAAGCTTCCCTTTCATTAACTGAAGAACAAATGCAAAAGAAGCCATTGCAGACAACACAAATAAAAAAACAACCCACAATCCCAAAACTCATGGTGCATGCAGCATTTTTATGGAAGGCTTTTATTTCCTTGTATACACTGCAGGTATAAAAGCTGCATGTATACCCTCCAGAAAACTGAATTGGGATTGGGTTCTGTGCTCTAAGCCCAGTGTGTTCTGGCTATTTACCAAAAACTTGATAAATGTAAAAGAAAAAAAAAAAAAGAAACAATTTCCATCTGAACTCAGTTATAAAATCACACACCACAACACCCGGCTCATAAATAACAAAATCAAACTCTTCCAAAAGGGAAATCGAGATAGGAACTTCTACTTATTTGTTTGCTTGTTTTAAAGTTCATTTTGTGTGTTTGTGTATGTGCAGGTATGTAGGTGAATGCTTATGTATACTTATGCACTTGGAGACCTGAAGTCAACCTCAGGTGTCACTCCTCAGGAGCCGCCCACTTTGTTTTTTGAGGCATTATCTCAGGCTATTATGCTAGACTGCACGGTCAGCAAGCTCCAAGCAGCTCTCTTTCTTTACCTCCCCAGCACTGAAATTATAACTACGAGCAGCCGCACCTGGCTTTATATTTATTTCTATGCTAGATAATGAACACAGTTCTTCACATTTATATAGCAAGTTCTTTATTGACTGAGCTATTTTCCCATCTCCAGACAGGAACTTTTAAAATAATAATAATAAAATGTAATAGGTTTGTTCCTGTAGACCATCCCCAACACACACACACACACACATACACACACACACACACACACACACACACACACACACACCATCACAGGTTATTGCCAAGGCTATTGGTTTCTCTCCATAACCTGATGATAAGGCCCTATTGCTGAAGACATTTACATACATCACAGAACTTGGAGAAATTAAAGTGTACCCAACCATAAGCTTTACCCCTACTGATAACCATTCATGGTACTGGAAGGTATTCTGTATGCTACCAGAGAGGTTATCATCAATATCTCACCCAGCTACAAGTCCTGCAACCTACAACAGCTATCTGCCTGCAAGATAATCAGGTGTTGTGGAATATTAATTTAAGATTTGTCACATTCATTTATGCTGAGGAATATTTGTTTAATGATGCAAAGACATGTTACATTTGTTTGATTAAATAAAATTAACCTGTGGTTAGGAGGCTGAGTCAGCAAGTAGCTGACATGAAGAGGTAGGGAAGAACCAGGTCGTAGCCAAGGTTCTTAAGTGGGGGATGAGCAGAGGGACACCTGTTTTTTTGAGGAGCAATAGAATAAGAAGAGGAGGACACTAGGGGCCACCCACCCAGACAGCCAAGAAGTAAGAGTGAAAGTAAGATGTATAGAAAGAAGAAAAGAAAAAAGCCCAGAGACAAAAGGTAAATGGGATAATTTAACTTAAGGAAAGCTGGCTAGAAACAAGCCAAGCTAAGGCTGGGCATTGGTAAGAAAGAATTAGACTTGGTGTGTGATTTATTTGGGAGCTAAGTGGTGGACTCCACAAAAGGGTAAAAAAGAACCAACAACAATCAGGTACAATAGTGAAACAAATGCTATTGGAGTAAACAAACATCCATGAGATAGAATCCATATCTGATTTGGCTAAAGTGGCCAAAGAACTTGAAACAAGATAGGCCATTGTCCCTAGGGGAAGACATACAACTATCATTCTGCTAAAGGAACATAGCAATAAAATGACTCCCAGTGGCATCTGGCTATACTTAGTGTGCTGCTCAACCCTTATCAGAAAAGCTTTTTCTTAAAGTGCATGGTGATTAACAGAGATCTACAACTGGACAATGGGCAGAGAGTGAGAGACTTTGGAGTACTTGGTCCTAAATGGGATTATCAAACCCTTCTCTACAAGGCCCAGGGCTCTTTTCAGAAGGGACTAGGGTCTTCCAGACACAACAGGAAGACATATAAACTCACAGAGGCTGTGGCCAAATACATAGGATCTGCACAGGACCAAACCAAAGTCCCAGCATTGAGAAGGGGAGGTAGACACAAAGTCCCATCCCTACCGTAAAGCCATTTGTAATAGGTCCTTTCTGGGAAAGGGAAATCAGTTTTCTCCTGTGGAGTGTCACTGGGTGTATCAACCATACTTGAGGACAGGCCCCATGCCCAGGAGTAGTTGGCCAACACAAGACAGATTCCATGTTTTATTTTCTGTTTGGAACAGGGGTCTTTATGTTTTATTTTATTTTGGTTTGGTATTTTTTGTCTTTTTGTTTTGTTTTGATCTTTTGTTGAGACAGAGAGAACATGAAATTGGGTGTGTACAGAGGTAGGAAGGAGCTGGGATGAATTGGGGGAGGGGAAAATGATCAAAATACATTGTATGAAATTTTTGTTAATAAAAACCTGGTATCTTCCCATGAATAAGAATTTCTCTTGAGGTTTTTAGTTTTGTCACTTTGTTACATAGATGTTCTAGGAGGCCCTTGGCTACTAGAGAATGTAACATTTGAGCAGTGTTGGGAAGTGGGGTGGAATATTTGGAGATGACATAAATTTTTATTTAGTAAATAGAGCAGGTCCTGAATTCTGTATATACATTTTGGCAGTGCTATGACTTAGTTGGCCATCTTTCTTTTCTTTCTTTCTTTTTTTTTTCTTTACCATTTGAAGAATTAAGTAACATCAGCATAGACAAAGTAGAAAATTAGAAGTTGCTTTCTGAAACTAAAGTAAATGCAACAACAAAATAAACAGGGTCTGAGGAGGTGGCTTGCTGCATAAGTGTGAGGCGCTGAGTTTAATGGCTATAGCACCAGTAGGACAAAGGAGGTATGATGACAAGTACCTAGAATGCCAGCACTGGGGTGATGGGAAGACAAGTGAGTCCCATGATCTTAGAAACTCTTTGACTGGCCAGTTTAATCAAAACAAAAAGGTCTAGGTTTAGTGAAAGACCCTGTTCCCCCAACACACACTCACAAACAAAAAACAAAAAACAACAACAACAAAAAATCAAAACAAAAAACCAGGAAAGCAATCCAGGAAAATGTCCCAAATTGATGTCTGGCCTACATGCATGCACACACCACAGACATACAAACACACACCTAAATAAATAAATAAATAAATGGGGGAGAAGGAAGCAAACAAGGAAAGGAGAGGGAGGGAGGGAGGGAGAGAGAGAAGGGCAGGACAAGAGAAAAGAAGCATGGAAATACAGAGAAAAATCCTCCAGTTCATTCTCATGTTGTTTTGGTGGCTCTCTCCCTCAGAACTACTGAAAGTACCTTAGCCTCTGCCAACATTACCAATGAATTCCCAGACCCTTGTTTTCTGTTTTGTCCATGGACTATGCTAGTATATATCTGTGGCCATCAGTGATTCAGGATTCTGTATTCACTAAAGCATGTCATCACCTTGTCACAAGATAAATGAACTGTTAGAAGACATTGGGGTGCATTGGAAATCTGTGATAAACTGCCTTCCCGAGAAATCAGCAGGCACATGGCCCCATGACTATAATCAGAGTCAGTGATGACCAGACAAACTCAAAGATTTTCGGTTTGTCCTTCTGGTCAACCTTATCGTGGTGACCTTGTCCTTCAGATTTGTCATCTCGTGGTCACAAATTGACTGTCATAATTCTAAGCATCACATCCTGTCAAGACAGTAAGAAAGGGTAATAGTACAAGTCCAAGGAAAAGTCTCCCACCATAAATCCGTCTCTTTTTATCCCCAAAAGTAAGTATGTCTTAGAATCCCCAAGAGAGAGATGGGCAGACCATGTTGCATAGCCAATGCCAGGAGCAAAATAACTTGAAAGAGATGACAGTGAGTCTAGAAGTTTGAGTATTTATCATGGGAAGAAAGGGCAGAGAATGAACCTGTATGAACATCAATGCCTGCTGTTGTCAAGAAACATTCCTAGGTACCAGAGGAAAACTCTTCCCCAAAGCAAATGACATATTAGGGATGTGGGACCATCACACAACCACAAACTCAGTTACGTGAGAAAGTGAGTCCTACAGCTGAGAGAGAGAGAGAGAGAGAGAGAGGAGCCTACAATCCCTGACCCGCCTGATTCTCCACTCCTCAAAGTGCAGAAATCCCTACCATTAGTAATGGTCTGAAAGAGGAACTCACTGTACCATGAAGCTGGTTTTGCTATTCTTCTCGCTGCCTGTCTCCCATGGTTCTGTTTCTTAATTCCACTGGTCCCAGATGGGACTCCCTCAATAAAACTTAACTCTTGTTCATTCCCTGGGGCCCAAATGTTTTTCACTGAACCATTAGAGTTGAATATTTTCACGGATTTTCCCATGGAAAGATGGAGGTTGAGAAAACCCACCCAGCCCCCCGGCCCCATAAAATCTGCCATCCCCTCCTCCAGGACTTTCAATCATCATGCCAGCTCAGAAGACTGCAGCTCAAAAGCACATTTTATTTTTCTGCTTAAAATGTGAGGAATGAGTGGGGGTTTTGTTTTGTCTTTTTCTTTCTTTCTTGCAAATAACTGGTCCTTCCAGATTGGAATCGCTCTAGCTCAGGAGTCTCCACTAATTAAGGTGCATTTAGCTTACCTTGTGGAAACTATCCAATTCTCTTTATTTGTTTAAACAATGTGTAGGTTGGGAATTTTAAATTCTTTTCATGCTAAGCATACAACTAAAAACTTCTTTTAATACAAGAACAGAGAGATCATGCACAATGCACAATCCTTAGTCTGGATTTAACTTGAAGAATTGAAAATATTTGCATTATCTTGGTTTTCAGTAGGAGTTGCCCAGCAGGATCAGATCTCTGTTTGTGTGGTTTAATACCACACTTCATGTTTAGGCAGAATCAGATATGCCAAAGAAAAGGGAAAAGAAAATAAGGAGGGAACATCCAGCCTGCTGCACCTGGCCATTGTGTAATAGCCATGCTGGAGTGAGGTGGGAATTCCATCTGGCCCCTCCCTCCACATGTGATCAATTTACATCCTGGAACTTGAGACTTTATTTCCTTGTGTCTTTTTTGTTCTAGTTCACATAAATTTACATGCCAGTCATGCTCATAAATGTCTAATCCATCTGCAGATCCAAGTCCCAAATGCTCCGAGCTGAATATGTCAGTTGGTTCAAAAGATGCTGGGCAGTGTACATCCTTTCTCCACCCCCCCATTCTTATTTACATTTCCTCTCTTTCAGCTGCAGTAAAATGTGCCCTGTTCTGGTTTGGAACAAGCGGAAGCATACGTGAATTTCTGTCTTACACTGAAAGTTCCCTGTGACTCTAGTTTAATGATTTGCGACTGTTGCTGCTGCAACACTAACTGAGAAATTTCCTAAGTGGATGCAGACAAACTAAACTAAGGAGGATCCAGTGTGCATTGGAGACCCAGAGCTGTACCGGGGATGGCTTTCCTCAGGGTGTGCTTCTGCAGCTCTTCTCATGATGGCTCCATCAAGAAAGGGCTTCATAGTCAGGTGGGCTACACACCTCATCCAATGAGTGAGCGTCTGAATCCCAAGCCAAAGACCTAGACAGCAACAACAAATAGAAAACTGTTGGTCTTATTTGCTTGCCTCTATATTTTCCAAAGTTGATTACCTTTGGAGCTCAGTTTCATGAGAAACGTATCAATTTCTTATGGACCAGTCTTGAAACACTGCTTAAATAATTTACACAACCTATCTTCTCTTCTATAAATAATTTAATCATTAACCATAGCCAGACTCCTACAGCATCCCACAGAGAAAGAGAACCTGGATGGACAGCTCCAAACTCTTGGTTCCAGCTTAGGTCAGATGAGGCCATGGCTCTGCATTTGAATTCCTTAAACCACAACACAAAACTGAATGTTACTACTCATCAAAGCTCCTGACAGGACTGAGTAAAGGACAAGCAAAAGATGTGAGGATAATGTATTCAACAATTTTTAAAGATTATATATTAAGATTCTATGTTCTATATATGCCATAGTCTATATGCACAGCATATATACTATTCCTTTATCTATTATATATACTTAGGATATGTTACCCAGAATCCTTTAATGATATATGTGTATATCTTATATAAAACATACAGACACTTTCTTTTATTAGTTGAGATCTAGGTTACTGCAATCCACCCTTACATTTCAATGCTTTATGTAGCAAATGGTCCATTTCTCTCACATACATCCTCCATTTCAGGTATTGCTCTTCAGGTAATTCTCTTGGGTGATTTCCAGCTAGATAGAAACTCAGGGATCCAGGTTTTCCTAACAGGGAAAAGAAGAATGTATGGAGGACTCCACAAAATTATTTAATACTGCAAGTACGCTCTCATTTTATGGGTTAGAGCAGCTATGGAACTCCTTCTCAAGGCAAGGCGCCTTGGGAAAATGGTATTTCTCAGTCCCATAAAGAAATGGAGTCCGTAAACACATAATACATAAGCACACAGTATTGTCTTAGAGACAGATAAAACTCCCAAATAGTCTATGAGCCTCTCTGAGACGTGGTGCTTGGTAGGTGCAAATGCTCACAAGGAAGCAGTTGGTATGGGTTTGTTTTCTTCTCTGACCACATCCTTTGTTAACATTTAGGACAAAGACCTTCTAAAGTCACGTGAACGATTTCAGAGAAAACTGGAAAACACTCTCATGGAAATGCAGTCTGGAGAGAGACAGAGAGAGACAGAGAGAGAGAGAGAGAGAGAGACAGAGACAGAGACAGAGAGAGACAGAGAGAGAGACAGAGAGACAGAGAGAGACAGAGAGAGAGAATAAGACCCTACACAAACACAGCTAAGCACCAACCATAGACTCTGCCAACTATTCCAAACTAATTGCTGCTGTGCACAGGCAACATAAATCTATTTTCAATTGTAGATGGGGTTTCTTTCCTGCCTGGTCCCGCTGCCATTTAAACAAGCAGGAAAGAAACCCTGTCCACAGGCAGTGGGAAAAGCTGAAAGGGTGACATGGGTTGGATATGTGAACTAATTGGAGCCAGAAGGAAAATATTGGGGAGCAGAAATCTTTATACAGTATTTTTCATCAGACTGTAATCTTCCTAGCTACAAAATTACATATATAGGAAAGGCAGAAAAACACAAAACAAAGTGAAAACCACTATTAATCCCAGTTCCCATCCACACTACACAAAATCCTCACTGTTTAAATGATTATTATCTACTGTTCTTATAGATGAACTCAACTTTTCATAGCATATATTTCCCCCTAAATACCACACTCACTCTGCAGGTTTTGTGGCTCATTTTTATAAAGCTCACAATATCGTCTGGATGTTTCATAATATTATTATGGATGGCTACATAGTCAACAATGGTTGAGCATGACTGTTTCTAGCTTTTTTTTCTCATGAAAAAAATTGGCATATTGAGCATCTCTCTGTGCCCATTTTCTACAGATATCTGATCATTTGTATTCTAAGAGATTTGTGATAATGTTGACTAACACTTAATGAAGTTTATAGTGTGCTTAATTTTGAAGTAAGTTTCTTACTTTCTGCATCTAAGTCAGTCTTTCAAACAAGTGTCTGCTGGTCATATTAACAGTGTATCCATGCTCTACGTAAGGAAACAATGTCTGAGAAAAGGTAAATCCTTTGCCTGTTATGATACAGCTACTTAATGGAAGAAACCGGATTTGAACCCAGAGTGACTGACTTCAGCATCCAAGATCCTCCATTTCCTACTCTACCCTGGAGAGCACTTAAATTCTCACTAGCAGATTAACCTTCATGGAGAGTTGACAGAGTAATGGATATGGCTTGAGAAGGGGTATGTATAATCAAGAGGAACTGCTTATATGATGGCTAAGAGAAGAAGAGAAGGTAAAGTTTTATGAGGGACAGTAACTTTTGCCGGTTGAAGTAAAAACAAAAAACTATGAGTTAATATATCCAGAGAGGCAAAGTCATTTCAAAGGACAATCTCCAAGCCAAAGTTCAGGACTGTTTAAAAATTATTGAAAGGGACAATGGGAGTGCCTGTCCAGTTGAACAAAGAGGAGCGATGTCAAAACAGTACTTGATAAAGACATACTCTGAGTCGGTCTTTGATTTAAGAAAGTGGCCTTTGGCTTGTGGAATGAGATAAAATCCAAGTTTCTGAGGCCTTTTAGGAGACCCTTTGTCATAATTTTCCTCCAGTCTGACAACTTCTCTGTGGGGATGCACTTTCTTCACAGTAGCTGGAGAATCTGAAGGGAGCCAGAAGTCAGGGCCTTAGATCCTGTTTTCACTTCCAGCCTCCACTCACAACCACTTCCCAGAAGGCCTTGCAAGTCCCTGATGGAATCAGGGAGGGAAGATTGATGGCAAGAGGCAGAAAAGTCAACTATAGAAATGTTAGGACAGGGTGGAAGATGAGAATTATGAGTTTATATTCTGTGTTCAGACGACCTAGGTTCAAATGCAGGTGACTGTTGACTAACAACATGACTAGGGCGAGATGACTATCCTCACTGTACCTCAGTTTCCTTAATTGTAAAATATGATAGTAATAATAATACCTACTCTGCAGATCACTGTGAAGATCAAATGAGGAGATCAAAGTCACAGATGCGGGCTACCATCCCCACAAGGTAAAGCCTGATGGCTTGACAGTTCATGCCCATTGTCCCAGCTCTAGGACACCATAGGCCATCATAGATATGTATGAATTTAAACATGAGTTTAGGTCCTGTTAAACCCTTGTTCCTATGGAACAGACACACATTAATTGAAAATCCTAAATATGCTTATTTACAAACAGCTTACACTCTAATGCAGAGATTCTCAACCTGTGGGTCAAGATGTGTCCTTTTCACGGGGGTGACATATCAGATATCCTTAGTATCAGATGTTTACATTACAATTCATAACAGTAGAAAATTATAGTTATGAAGTAGCAATAAAAGTAATTTTACAGTTGGGGATCACCATAGCGTGAGGAACTGTGTTGAAGGACAGCATCAGGAAGGTTGAGAACCACTGTGCTAATGCTTTCTTTTCCCTTCTGAACTTTCTGGAAACCAGCTGCACTCTTCTATGTGCACAGAGAACTCTTGGACCCATGTCCCCTTTTACCTCCTCTCCGTCAGACCTTACTCCCCTCATCTCTGCTTGCAGATTAGGCAATTTCTGTGTGCACAGATGTACAAGGATCTCAGCTCTACCATCTCTCCTGTCCCATTCCCCTGATGGTAGCGGAAGCTGCATCAGGACCAGGGACCTTAGCCATACTGGTTAGAGGAAATGTAAATATACTAGAGACTTGGTATTGCTCCCAAGTTGGCAAAGTACCTAGAAGTCTCCTACTGAAAGGACATAAAGACCCCCACCTACTGTCTCAAATATCTCTAACTGAAGCTTGTTCTCTTAGACGTTAGCATTTCTAATGCTCTCTAAACCTGATGATTTGTTTGAGGTCAACTAATGGACCAATCTTACAATTAAAGCAATAATTATAAGATACACAGCTGCTTGCTGTACTGAGAATTAAATGGGATGGAAGGGATATCTGGGAACTAACTACTATGGAAGAAATTATGTCGATGGGGAAATGCACTCCAAATTCCAGATAACTCATTCACTCACTGACTTTTGGAATATAATGCTTTAATAGGTTAAAAAGACTGACTAAAAATATTAAGTCTCTTAATGAAATTTTTATTCATGTAATTCTTTGGATTTTTATCTTAAGAGATTGAAGCAATTCTAGTCTCCTCCACAAGAATTGTTTCCCTGGTATGGGAGACATAATTAAAAGAGGACTTTGGATTTTCTGAGATGATAGGTAGGACCCAACTATTTTAATTAGTTTAATGGATGTAAGACCAATTGTTTTAAGGCAGTAGACAAAATGATTCATGTTATTGGCAGGTTTGTCCACTTGATTTCCCAAGGGTCAATCATTTCAGCTCACACGAAAGATGCATCTATTGTAGGTGAGAACATTTGAGAAATATTTTGGAATCATTTCAAAATCACATTCTACATGTGGAAGTAACAGGAACCCATCTAAAGCCTTTTTTATTACCTCTACAATACTAATGAGTTCCCGCTCACAAGGAGACATGACATTTATATCCTTTCAAGTTTTCCTTCCTTTTGGGCAGCTTTAAAACAAAAACGGACTATTTTTCCTTCATCATTATAAACTGGGCATCTGGTGAGATTTTTAAGCAAACGAGTGAGAGTTAGCCAGGCTGTGGTGGTGCACGCCTTTAATCCCAGCAGTTGGAAGGCAGAGGCAGGTGTATCTCTATGAGTTTGAGGCCAGCCTGATCTAAAGGGTGAGTTCCAGGACAGCCATGGTTACACCAAGAACCACTGCCTCAAATAACAACAACAACAACAACAAAGCTGAGAAAAATACATTTATGAAGGACCTTTTTGTCTGTGATTTAAACTCAAGCAGAAAAGCTGCCTCCTGCAAGTGGGCAGGGTGTGGGCCTGGCCAGAAGACTGGATTTTGGCTCTGCTGCCTGGGGCTTTGATGAAGTCACTCACGGGTGAGCCCCATTATCTCCATCTGAACAAATGAGGTTTGGCATCGGTGCCTGTGAGCTCCTTCCCGACCCTCTGTTTTGTTTTTGTGGTTGGAAATAATGCAGGGATTTTGGGGATGCAATCTTCCCAAATCCAGGCTTTCCACTCTGTCACTTCAGGGGAAGCAAGGGGCTGCCAACATCACTTTTGCTTTCAGTTCCTATCAACACGAACTGTGCTTAAACAACCAGTAAGTTAGGCCTCTCTGAACAGCAATTGGTTTGTTCCAAAAATTAGCTTAATTTCCCTTTCCTTCCCCCCCCCTTTTTCTTTTCCTCTCCTTCCTTCCTTCCTTTCACGTCTTAAAGGGAGGAGAAGAAGAAGAAGAAGAAGAAGAAGAAGAAGAAGAAGAAGAAGAAGAAGAAGAAGAAGAAGAAGAAGAAGAAGAAGAAGGACGACAACGACGACGACGACGACGACGACGACCGACAAAATGGCTCTGCAAATGCTCAGCATGGATTAGGATCTAGCTCCGGGAAAGCCCTCAAGTGTTGCAAATGCACAGCAAGGGTCAGGATCTAGCTTAGGAAAGCCTTAAGTATTGTATTCTATCTAGAGTCCAGGAGTTTAATGAAGTGAGCTAAGACACCACTTGTGACACCGCCAACTCTCCCTATTCCAGACAGTTCAGCTGTGAAGGCTCAGATGGCTTCCAGCTTTCAGTTGCCAAATTCCAGGAGGTACAACACCTGCTCAGGAGAGCCAGGGCTCCTAGAGAAACCAACAGAGGGCTGCCCTTTGTCTTCTGCCCCTGCCCCACCTTTGAGTACCCTTACTCTGAATTTTGAGTCTAGTTATAGATAATCTTTAGACATTCGTTTTCTCAAATTAATGCTTCTTCACTTTAAAATCCCATGTTCGATAGAGGGGGGATGCTGAGGTGGAGTGGGTCAGTGTAGGACGGAAAGGCAGGAGGACTGAGAGAAAATGGCATAGTGACAGGGATAAGAGTGAATGATGGGAAGACGAAGCGTGGTCAAAGTGAAAGGACAGGGGAGCGAATGAACGAAACGGTGGGCAAGTGAATGAAAACCAAATTGAGTGTGGCTCGGTCTCTGCTCCAAGCAGGGAAAGGATTAAACAAATACTTTGTTACGACCAGGATCCATCACTGTGAAGAAATGCAAGCGATACCAACCCAGTCCAGGAGATGAGAAGGGTGGTGTTCAAGTTGGATATTTTTACGCCAACCCCACCCCACTCCCACCCGAATAGAAATCTAAAACTAAATTACATTAAAATATGGTGTTTTGTTTTGTTCCCCAAACGAAACCCAAGCACACATACTGCTCTACCCCACCCTCCACCCCCACACGGAAAGCTCCCTCCCTAGTCCAGTCTGTGTGGGTCCTGTGGGTCTCATTCCATGCCAAGCCTTAAGGACATGCTCCTTGCCCTGCTTCCCAAGCCGGATGTGGAGCGCCACCTAGAGTCTGACAAACACATTCTCACAGAGACCACAAGGACGCTTTAAATCCTAGGGTATTCGCCAGGTTTTGAAGATGGAATTATACATACATACATACATACATACATACATACATACATACATACATACATACATACATACATACATACATACATACATACTAAAAACACGGGTAAGTAAATTAATAGATTTAATATATGAGCAAAACATCTGGTAAATATGAAGGCAAACACTGTCACTCACTAATGCTGGCACCAGAATGAATTAAAAAACGAGTTTCTAGGAAATTCCAATTTCCTGCCAGGGAGAATTCTAGACAATGAATTGAAAGTAACATGTTCCATGGCCACATCCTAAGTGTTGTTGTTGTCAAAGCCAGAATTTCAAGAAGACATCTTGTTCTTATTAATAACTATCTGACAATTTACTGAGTGCATCTAAATTATGGAAATATTTATACCATTAAGATGGACTCAGCTGTTGTGATTTATGGAATGGGCTAACATTGTGGCTGTGAAGGAAATGGGAGGGGCACAAATCTGTCCCTTTTACTTCATTGTAAGAAAGGGAGCACGCCTGTGTCACCACACTATAATAAGCTTGACCAGAAAATGTAGATAGAGTTGCATTTCACAGACATTATCAAAGACATAAAAAGAAATTTTATGTCTTTACACAAAGCATGTTCTTTGTCTCCCCAAGCTTTGACCTAAGGAGAAAAACATCCAAGTGAGGAAGACACACCACCCACCCTTTAGCAACACTGTGCATCAGAACCACTGCTGAGTGGCTCCAGAGAGCATCTTCTCTCTGAGACATAGAGTCAAAACAGAAGAGCAGGAAAACAGGGTATTAAAATACATTTGAGTCACCTTGGTTCAGTCTTATCTATTCATATAGCTGTATCATTTTCCATACTATCTAGCACAGAGTGGCTAGCCGATGAAGACTTCTTGAACACCAAATGAAGGCTCACTAGAAACACTCATATACGCTGGGTGTTGGTGGCGCACACCTTTAATCCCAGCACTCCGGAGGCAGAGGCAGGCAGATCTCTGTGAGTTTGAGGCCAGCCTGGTCTCCAGAGGGAGCGCCAGGATAGGCTCCAAAGCTACACAGAGAAACCCTGTCTCGAAAAAGAAAGAAAGAAAAGAAAGAAAGAAAGAAAGAAAGAAAGAAAGAAAGAAAGAAAGGAAGGAAGGAAGGAAGGAAGGAAGGAAGGATGAAAGGAAGAAAGAAAGGAAGAAAGACATATACATGCGTAGGGAAAAAAATCAGTTGGTACCTATCTCTCTCATCTGCAGTCCACTTAGGAGGTGGCTGATTGGCATCTTTTCTCCGAAGCCTTCAATGGCTGTTCACTACTCCACCAAATTTCAGTTCTTCTGCCTATTTTCAGATGTCCTATTTACATACAATTCAATATGAACCACCTTGCCCTCTGCTATGTATTTCTTCATGGTGCCACCAATCCTACACACATTTCCATTTGCAAACTTTTTTACCTCTCCCTTTCCCCAAAGCTATGGAAAGTCCACATTATCCAAGAACTATTATTCTATCAGAAAAACATTTTTCTCATATTATGTATTTTTATAATTTCCCCCATCACCCCACCTACTCCATGTCCATTCTCTCTCTGTCTCTCTCTCTCTCTCTCTCTCTCTCTCTCTCTCTCTCTCTCTCTCTCTCTCAGGAAGGGGAGGAGGAAGAAAGGAGGGAGAGAGCAAGGAAGGGATAGAGTGAAGAAGGGAGGGAGAGAGGGAGAGAGGGAGGAAGGGAGGTAGGGAGGGAAGGAGGGAGGGAGGGAGGGAGGAATGAAGGAAGGAAGATCTATTTATTTTGAGTTCAGTGTTTTCCTTCCCTGGTGCATTCTTCCTTCCTCCTTCCCCTCCTCTCCATCTGCTCCCCTCTTGTTGCAAGCTGATACACTCTCTCTGATCTACACCACATCAAGGAGCCATAGCTACACATGTCCTCTCCATCTTCTACTTTCATGGATGTTAGCTTTGTCATTTTGTATAGCCCCTTTACCTCCTCCAGTGTATGGTTCATGTCTTATTGTTAATCTATAATAAACTCCTTTTTGGTTGGCACAGAACAAAATTGGGTCTACCTCATGAAGAACCTGGAGTGTCAGGTCCAAAGATTTATTTTAGCCTTGAAACAGACATAAGATTGCAAAAGGAAAGCCAGTCTTCCAAAAGCATCCTCTTTTCCACAGATGCTCAGGGATCACAGCCAAGTAATTATCACTTGTTAATTATAAAGGGAAGATATGGAGGAGGAAAATTCCTACCATGGTCCATGTCCCATAGAGCTTTCTGAAAGCTTTCTGATTGTGTGTGTCCAGTGAGTGGTGAGGGGTAGATGTTGCACCTCAGTTCTCATCTCCCTGTCATTAGGAAAGATGGGGTCTACTGTTGGCCATGAGATGTTCAATGAGCCTGTTCTACCCAGACCTTAAGTGGGGCTGAAGTGTTGCCTGGTTTTATTCTTGATTGGAATGAGCAGATCCATTATCCCGAGGCATCCAGAAGCATGATGATAGAATTAAATATAGTGTGGGAAGGCTGAAGGGGGGAAGGTAAACCAGCCAGAGGGGAAAAGGAGTAGTGTTGGGGGGGAATAATTGAGAACAAAGTGAGACGGCATATATCTACAAGATGCCATAGTGAAACCCATTATTTTGTCTGCTAACCTGAATTTAATTTGAAGAAAAGAAGAAGAAGAAAAAAAAAGAACTTCAAACAGAATCAAGCATTTTGTTTGTACAACTGTTTGACGAGCTCTTCTCTAAAAGCTACAGTCTTGATAAATGTGCTTAGTAAAAGTCTACTTGAAACCAAATAATGTAACTTTGGAGGCAGAGGATTTGAATAAGAAAAAACAAAAGGGATGCATTTCATGATTCCCTGGCATTTGTATTCAGACATTTGGGCTGAAAGATCAATGTTTCACCTCCTCTCTGAAAGCTGGGATTTCCTTGACGGGGCTAGCACAATGGCTGTCAGGAAGTTGTCAGTCTTCATTATCATAGATTTGCAGTTAGAAATTCACCCGCTTGATAAAAATCAATATTACTGGCACAAATTCATGGACATGCACAGAATGGCAAAAACTGTGAGCCACCCAACTCACAACTTCCCACTTGTGCCTGGACAAGGTGATGCTCTGCCCTGTTGTCTCTGTGTCCATATTAAAAAATGAGTGGGGTTTTTTGTTTGTTTGTTTGTTTGTTTTTTGCAGAGTTAAGAAGATTTAGTGTTTTGGTTCACTTTGTTAATGATTTAGCTATTTAAAATAAAATGTTCCCAAGTATAGTGCTGTATGTTCCCAAGTGCAAGAATGTGATGTGCTTTATGAAGGAAATGAATGTGTTAGATAAGCTTTCTTTAAACATGCCGTTTGCCAAGAGTTCATCATTTGTTAATAAACAGCATGTATGAAATGAGGCCTCTTCAAATAGCCTTTTTTACCCACATCTAAAGCAAGGTTCTGCACTATTGGTGAGGGGAAAATGTGATCAAAGACTTCAGGAACAACTCCTGTGTCCTCTAGAACAGTGGTTCCCAACCTTTCTATTGCAGCCACCCTTTAACACAGTTCCCCACTTTGCCCCAACCATAAAATTATTTTCATTGGTATTTCATAACTGTAATTTTGCTACTTTCATGAATCGTAATGTAAATATGTGATATTCACTGTCTGATATGTGATCCCTGTGAAAGGGTGGTCTAACCCCGCCCCAAGGGTCGAGACCTGCAGGTTGACAATCACTGCTCTAGAAGCAACAGTTCAGCCTTCTTTGATTGAACATTTGCAGCGGCTTTGTAGAACAAAACTACTGAGACTGCTAAGGCTCAGCTCCACGTACAT